CATGAGGCCTACTGAATCCACCCTGAGGCCTATTAAATCCAACATGAAGCCTATTAAATCCACCCTGAGGCCTATTAAATCCACCCTGAGGCCTACTGAATCCACCCTGAGGCCTATTAAATCCAACCTGAGGCCTATTAAATCCACACTGAGGCCTATTGAAACAGAGCATGTCTCAGAGGCCCCAACAAATGACTGTCTCCCTCCCTTTCTCTCACTCCCTCCCCCTCTCTCTCCCTCCTTCCCTTCCTCTCTCCCTCTGTAACCAGTAGCTTCTCTTGTTCGTTGACATTTGGTGAATGTGACATCTCGACATTGTGAGAACGCGCAGTGGACAGTTACAAATTCCCAGGTCCCCCCCTCACCACCTCCCTCCACCCCAGCTCCCCTTCCCCCACCCCCCGGGATCAGGGGCAATGGCTGCTGGCATGTCCACTAACCACAGGAATGGGATGGTGGGGGAGTCGGCTTTCTGTCGAGCGGGAAAGAGGCCAGATTCTTGCTTGGCCATTCCCGAAACAGCCAACTTGACCCCAGCCCCGTCTTTACCCCCAACGCACGGTGACCCCGCCGTCTCCAAACCCCCACACTCCCCCCTCCCCGCCATGTCATTGGGTACAGACATTACAGAGGAAGATCCAACTCTTGAGTCACGATGACCCGTGGGGAAGGGGGTTGGGATTGGAAGGGGTGTTGGTTGGGGCGGGGGCGGGGGCGGGGGGTTTGCCTCAGTACAAGGAGGAGCCCTTCTGCCCAGCGACCAGCTCCCGTCCCCCTGCCTCATCGCGGCCCCCGCTCTCCGCAGCGCCCAGGGGGGTAGCGTCGCCAAGACAGGGGGTGGGGTAGACGAACATCCTCTGGAGGAGGGGCAAATGCTGGGCCTTCTCGTCCCTGATGACCATGTTGAGGGCAAGAGGGAGGGGCGAGACGTGGGCAAAAGGGTAGGGGTAGGCGCCAGTGAGCAGCTGGTGGCCGTACATCAGTGGGTAGGGGTCCTGGTAGAACGCCACCTTGCTCAGTCCCCCATCGCCTGGCTTCACCCGCTCTGGGCCTGGGGTCTTGCCATGTGAGCAGCAGTTCCCATTGGTCAGCAGGGGCATGGGGTATTCCTGGACTGGGTACTCCAGGCCGGTGCCGGCTCGTCTGCACTCCTCAGGCTCCAGGGTGTGGAAATCGTGGCTCGCTTCCTGCGGCAGCGAGGTATCCGCTCCATGCCCGCTGGTGCCCGGGGAGCCGTCCCCATCCTCTCGGGGCTGGGTGCCGACGTAGGCCCCCCCGGGGTCCGGAGTCTCTGCCGCCCCGGTCTCGCCGACTTGCGGCATAAGGGCCCGCCGCGTCAGGCCGGCGGTGGTGCCCCCCTGCGACGCGTCGCTCTCGCCGCCCGTCCCCGGGACCCGGGAGGGCTCCCGCTCGGCGGCTCCCCCTTGCGGTTGCGCTGCTCGGTTCCCTTCCCCTTGTGCAGAGTGTGCTACCGTCACTTCCGTAGGCGAGAGGCAGCCAATGGCGGCATCCAGATCTCCGCCGAATGCCAACAGTCTCGCTCCGGGGTCCGGCCTCGTCACTGCTTGCCCCTCCTCCCCCTCCTGCCCCTCCTCCGCATCCTCCTCCTCCTCTGCGGGTCGCCTCCCAGGGGCAGAAGAGGGTGTCTTCGGGAAGCAGTTGCTCGGGAGCGTCCTCCTGCTGTTTCCACGAGGAGCGGGCTCCTGGCCCTGGCCCTTGGAACGCGGGGTCCGCACCCCCTCGCTCAGGGGTCTCTCCCCTCCATCCCGCGGGAGCCTGGGCACAGGCCGACGATCCCCAGCACTGGATTGGGGTGTTCCCAGTTCCCGGTGGTGGTCCTCCGAGCCCTGAGGAGGGCGTGGGGCAGGGAGCCCCCCGGGTGGGGGGGGTGAGGAGGGGCGAGGGGGTGGGGCGGGAGGGTGTCGGTAACGTAGCCTCCGGTGCCACCCGGCCCTGCGTGACCTGTGGAAGGACCCAGCCACCCGCTGTTTGGGCTTGTAGGAGTAGTAGGGCCTCCAGAGGTTGTCCTCCAGGTCGCTGTCTTCCTCCTCAGAGTCCTGGCCGAGGGAGTAACCATCGCTCCTCCTCCGCCTCCTCCTCCTCCTCCTCTTCCTCCGCCTCGCCCGGGGCTGGTGCTCTCCCTCCGAGGCCTCCTCGCAGCTCTGCCCCCTTTTGCCCCCAGGGGGCGCCCTTTGGCCCCCCTCGTCCCGGATCAGGTCGGACTCTGCGATTCGCCGCTTGACCAGAGCCTCCTCCCCGATGCGGACCGTGATCCGGCAGAGCGGCGCCGATCGGCTCTCGCTGGCGGCGCCCGGGCATGCCGGCTTGGCCACGTAGGTCATGGTCCTCCCCTCGGTGGCGCCCCCCGGAGGCCGCTTGGCCTTCGCCCCCCGCGGCTCCTTCTGACCCTGGTGGGTGCTGGAGGAGGGCAACGCTTCCCGGTGGCACGGCGCGTTCCAGCCCCTCGCCGGCGTCTCCCTGGTGACGGCGCTGGGCTCTCGGTGCCCAGGGGGTGGGGTTGGGGGTGGGGCGGGGCTGGCCACGCCCCTCTCCGGGGGGCACTTGCCGTTGTAGGCGATGACGGTGGACTGCCCCCAGCGGGTGGCGTTGGTTGGCAGGGCCACAATCACTGACGAGGAGGAGGAGGGGTTGGTGGTGGTGGAGGGGGGGGGCGGGGGCGGGGGGCCGCCGTACGTGATGACCGAGTGCCCCGGTGCCACGCCCTCAGGTCCCAGGAAGGGCTGGGGCCGCTGCTGGAGGGGGCGGGGTGGGGGCGGCTCCCCCGGGCCCAGGGCGGCACTGCCTTCGGGGCGGAGGGACGCCGGGAGCTCGGGGGTGCTGGCGGCCGGGGGTGCCGGCGGCTCCGCGTGGACGGCCGGGGGGGC